ATTATGAGTTGCTTCCATATGGCCAAACGCTAAATTCTGATCTCTACTGTCAACAACTGGACCGTTTGAAGATAGCGATTGACCAGAAACGGCCAGAATTGGCCAACAGGAGAGGTGTCGTGTTGCACCAGGACAACACTAGGCCACACACATCTACAATGACTCGCCAGAAACTTCGGCAGCTTGGTTGGGAAGTTTTAATGCATCCGCCATACAGTCCGGACTTGGCACCAAGCGATTATCATCTTTTTCTTGCATTGCAAAATTTCTTTAATGATAAAAAATTGGAATCTAGGGAGGATTGTGAAAATCGACTACTAGAGTTTTTTGCAAATAGAGACCAGGACTTCTATGAGAGAGGCATTTTGAAGTTACCTTTAAAATGGCAACATATCATACAACAAAACGATGCATATTTGACCCAAATCGGACAATCCGAAGCATCTTAAATAAAGTCCTGAAGTTCATATAAAAATAATGGATTTCTTTTTCCCCATGCTAATATATGGAGCTATGATAAATAATAAAAAATAAATGTCCAAAACGTGCTATATATATATATATATATATATGTAGATATATATATTTACATAGTTCATATTCGAATTGCTTTGTGAATATCAATTTTCAATGACGTCATATATATTATATGCTTCAAATCGATTTTTTAATACGATATCATATGGAATTGTTTTCGCTACAATGGTCCCTTTGCAAGACTTATCAGATTTTCAGATGCAAATATTATACTCTCGGTAAAAACCTTTTAATAGAAAGAGAACATAAATATAGCTTTATATCGGTATGTTGCGGCTTGGCATGTTTCTAATCGTTTCTGCGCATGCAGAGTCCCACCGGTGCTAATGTCATTCTTTCTTTCTGTTTTTTTTTCTCTTTTATCGCGACTCGTACGTGATGTAGCGTCACTGCCAACTATTTAACCATTAACGATACTTTGGCAGTGATGATCATTCAAGGTCAATGTTACTGTTTCGTTTCTTGTATCTTTCTCTCTCTCTCTTTCTTTCTCCTACTGCTTGCCTAACCGAAACTATACCTTATCCCTATGTATTATTGTTGATCACTGCAGATTTATTCCATTTTTCTTCCATTTTCGTCGTTTATTGTCATAACGCCCGCGTTGTTCTACATTCTATCCGTCTATCCATCCATCTTTCAACTACCTACTACCAAAAAACCAAATTCGTTAATTTCAAGAAAATAATCAACATTTTCTTCATTCAAGATTCACTCAACATACAGATTCATGGCTTGTATCTTATCCCCTGGAGGCATAAACCATGGAAAATGGTATCAAAATTAAGGCACTGTCAAAGCTATTGGAAATGTAAACTATTCTGGCCGCACTGTATACATACATACGTGCTCATCAAGATTGTATTCTCGAAATTAAAGAACATCAGGTGCACATATTTATACCCTACACCTCTTGCGATAAAAGAATGTATTAAATTTGTGCGGAATAGCCAGGAAGATGTGAAATAAATTAAATTCACCTTTTATTATACCGATTTAAATTTGTCTATTTGTCTGTCCTTCTTGTATTCAGCCTAAACAATGCAATTTTGGCGATATTTTGATGAAATTTGACACACTGACATGTTTTGACTCAACAACGAAAGCCAACGAAAATGGTGCGGATCGGTCCAATTTTTCGAAAACAAATACAATTTTCAAAATATTTCGCCAAAGAACCTCGCTGAGCAGTAGCACTTCGACATTCTAAATTGGTATGAAAAATTTTGTTCAGTTGCGGCAATTTTTTGAACCCTCTCTCATATAATCGTTCCTACGAAAACTGAATCTTTATAAGGTAAAAAGGTATAATTTTTAATAATTCATGATGAAAATGGGGAATAAAGTATGCTTTTGGGGGAGCATAGATGCGCCTAAACTCTCAGCTCCTCGCGATGAACCCTGGTAATGGCTTTTTGTCCGACGAAGAAGAGTTTAAGGTTTGGACTCTTTATCACTTGGTAACAAGTTTTCCGATAATACACTGGAGTGCACTGAAACAAGCTTTGCTTTGACCAAATCCTTTCCCATAGACTATTGCTATGGAGGAAATACAAACTAGCTGTTATTGTGTTGTAACTGGGTACGTAGACTACTTTGATGTAGTAATAGTCGAGTGCATGGACCAGGCCATGTCAAATGTAGCATCCAAAGCAAACATATTTTTAAGAAGGGTTTTTCGGTGCTGGCTACCCGAGATGGTATGGTTTGCCCAAAGGCAAGAATGACTATGTTGCGTAAAGTAAGGCTAAGGTCTTTATAAACTAAATTTAAGCTCCACAGGGATCAAGGGCTCACTTGCTATCTGTCTATTTCTACGTAGAGAAAGTTCTGCTGAGTATGCCTTGCGAGGGGTATCGTGGTGGCTGCGGTTTTCATCAATCCTAAAGCGAGGTAAGCCTCAATATTCTCCAAGTGTGTTTATTGGGCCATACACAATAAATAAATCTCCAACTGTAGTTGAGGCTCCTAGTTTATAGGGATTTTCCGACTCTCGCGAGGGCGTAGGTTACGTACGATTGACTCGCATGTCATCGGGTTTTGCTAGGTGAGATTTTTGTGAGACAGATACTGATATTAAATCTAAGTCACGTTCATTTCATGATGAAAATTGGTTAATAATAGTAAATTGATAAAGAAATCAACCCTACCGAACTTGGCCTGCGCAGGTCTTTTTTTTAGATATTGTTAGATTCACGTTTGCTGGGCATCTTTATATGTCAAAAGCGCTAATTGTTAATGTTTTGTTCATGGCACTAGTTTGACATAGAAATAAAGTGGATCAAATTGGAACCATATGAGTCTTCTTTCTTGTACCCTACTGTATATGAGATTTCGGAAAAAGGTTTAATTTTTACCATTTTATAATGAAAATTGGTTCATAGTAGCAATTTAGCAAAAAAAAAAAACGATAGATGAAATAGATGAGTCTAGATCCTAATATGTATGGTGTATGGTCTATCATGAAAAGCAAGAGGGAGAAAAGAATGTCTATATTCTAGTATTTTATGCTGGAAATTAAAAAATCATAAAAGTTTTAGCAAGTATTAGCAAATTTGCTAAATTTGGATGACGTCATACGATGTTTTGGGCACGCAATGGATATCTTTGAATGCAAAGGAGTGAATAATTGTATTAGCCTAAGTGATGTAGGGTATCTAATGGTCGCCCTTGCTCGGCTATAATGATCGTAACTGTTAATACATAATATTAAACTGAATACATATTTACATTCATTTATTTTCTAGAAAAAATACTGTGGAATACTGGCAAAGATACTCTGGAATTATGAAATAGTGCTAACTGTTAAGGAAAATGCGAATACAATGCGAGCAAAATTGCCCTTATATTGGGATTGGGATGCACAACTTTGATCTCCTTAGCACTCATTCATATTAGGTGGATTTAGCTGTGGGAAGGATGGAGTAAATGCGGATTTGGCGATTTATCGATAATATATTGGAAATTAATATTTTTAATTTTCTAAATTTCTAAATAATTGATTTGTTTTTGTTTTTCTTTTTATTTCGAAAAAAAATTTTTTTAAAAATAAAATAAATTTTCCTCTCATCGCTGCAAGTTTATTATAATTGTTTCTCTCTTTTGCGCTCAATAAGTTAACAACTGCCACGCAAACATTCTAATAAGAATCTTTTGTTAATAAGCTTTTTAAAAAGATATGCTATAAAATTTTTTATTATATTTATTTATTAATGTCTTCATTGATTCATTTCATCAATTAAATGCAACCAACATATATTACTATTAAAATTTAATTCATTTCACGTATATAAAATTGAAATGTATCAATGGAATCTTAAAAAAATCTTTTCTTTCAAATTTTTAATGTCTTTTAAAAATGTTTCCTAAATTTCAAAATTCATTCGTATTCGGAACGCATTTAACATTAGGAATATCTTCAAAGTGATTGGAACACATAATAGTAATAATATGGATAACTAAAATAGCCGCGCTAGTCTGGCCTTTTAAGGAGTTGAGATAAATTAATCCGATCGAAATAAAATCATTTCATGAATCATTTTTTGAGTCGATTCAAGCCCGTCAGTGCGTCTGTCCGCCTTGCTTCTTGTGTTTAACCTAAAGGTTGCAAATTTTAAGCTATTTTGATGAAACTGATTTGGTATACTGACTTGTTTTGTCCTACGGTATGAACGCTAATGAACATTGTTTGGATCGGATCATTTTCTCGACAATTCATTTTGAAAAGTCTTTATATGTATACCTGTACAATAAAGTAGAGTGTTTAATGATCAATCATAGCTTAGGTAGCTAAAAATCTAGGCTGCCATGCATCCTATGTACATACATTCACTTACTTGTTCCTGGTTAATGCAATAACTTTGTATTTAAGTCATAACTTAAATCAATAAATAAGTTTGCACTGCCTTTTAAGTTTATAAACAAAGAATAAGAAGAAGATAATTAATTATTCTGTTCAAAAGTTCTCTTCTGTTGAAATTTCTAATTGAATTTATCCTCGAGATCGGTTAGAAATTCATTCTTGAAGGAAAGACTTTTAAACTGTAATAAGATCATTTGTTCTAAAATGTTTGCTAGGTTTTGCATTGGGAGCTTATTGGCGTTAAATATGTATGTATGTGTGTAACAAATGCATATGTAGCGTAATTCCTTTTCCTTTCACATCCTGTATGTTTTGGTCAGAAGGAAAGTTTCCTTTTTCGTTGTGCATTGATGAATTTTCCCATATCCAAAACAAAACAATGCGCAGGCTTTCTCTCTTCTCAACTCGAGCAATTCATGCGAGAGTACAAGCGGACTTATTCAATATAATTCAATGGGTAAATTGCTCTCGATTGATATAAAGAAGAAGAAGAAGAAGAAGAAGAAAATGAAGAAAAAAAGAAGAAGAAGAGGAAGAAGAAGTAGAAAAAAAAGACTAAAGGAAAACAAATTTTTCAGATTTTTCGATCTAAAGCAGTTTTGAGTCGTGCGCTGTAACGTTCGGATATACGGTCAAAAACGCGAGCAAAACAAAAAGAGACATTTTTATTTGTGTTTTTCTGTTGGGGGTTTCTTCTCTTGTGTGTTTCTGCGGAATGACGGAAGTGTTGGTGAATTTGCAAGAAATTGTTTAATGAAAAAAAAAAGTTTTTTTTATTTTTAATTTTTTTTTTTGCTAGTCGACCAATATGCGTGTGTTTGTGCGTAACTTTAATTGTGCTTAAAAAATAAAAAGGAAAAAAAATAAAGAAGAAAACTTCAAAGGAACAAAAGCGAGTTTTTTCCTTTCCTGCGGGGGGGGGGAAAAAAATAATAAAATAGAAAAAGTGAGACATTACTCTTTAAGAATAATAACAACCTGATAACTCGAAATCCATTTGCTTTGAGATAAAAAGAAGTGTTCTAGAGAAAAAGTTGTCTTTCGATTGTATTTCGCTTACAATGGAAATTTGTTTTTCAATTAATTGGCTTTAATTTAGTGAAAGGATTGTTGTTTTTGTTAATTTTTTTTTTTTTTTTTTTTTATTCATAACAGATCTCCTTGTTTAAATTGTTTGAAAGTAAGAGAGAGAAATTATTGTTATAGACGGCTATTGTCTAATTAATTAAATTTTCCTTTCCCTTTTTTTTTTTTTTTGTATAAACGATACTACTATGATTGTATTGGTGTTAATATTAGTCTGGTTGTGCGAGTGTATGGAAAATGTGATGTCATTCCGTTTCCATTTCAGTGGAATTTAATAAAAGATGTGCTTAAGTATTGTAATGTATTTCACTTACGTATGTATGTATGTATTGGTTAGTCTACAAGGCATAATTTTGTATCCCCGTCAATGTCCTTTTAAGTAGTGAAATCATTTAACCCTACCGTGCAAACGGAAATTTTGATTTTAATATGAATTCTATGCTGTATCGTAACATTATGTACGCAACGCTTAGTTAGAACCGATAAAAATGGAAAGATGGGAAATGCAAAAATGCATTGGTCATCAAAGCAAAGAAATGAAATATTATTGTATATGTTGCTTATTGATTTTTGTCGATAAAATTCACAAAATTCCAAGAAAATGCAAAGTTTATAAATTTTTTTTTTTATAGGAGAAAAGTATTTCAATAAATAAATTTTACAAACACATATTGATTTAAGGTACTTTTGCATCAGATTGTTCAAAAAGATCTGCATGATTGACCATAACAGTAAGTTGTTGTTGAGACCCCATATCGATCACAAAAGACGATATCCTATGATTTGTGATCGGAGAAACCATTTCATTTTTCAATTAGAAAAGATCTGATTTTATTTATATTTCATTTGAGATTTGTCGAAAATTGTAGATTAATTTAACCGGGACATGTTGGACAAATCTTTACAATATATCTAAGGCAAGCGATGGCTCCTGAATAATGCTTTCATTTTCAAGGACCTTTGCATTTACATTTTACATTACACATGAGTTGGATTTAATGCAATTAAGACCGGTCCGTCGCCAAAGAGCTTGTTAAAAAATTCTTGATAATCTTGAATCAAAAAAAAAAAATCTAAAATATTTTTTTCGAAACAGCTAAGAAAGGGCCGCGAACTTATGGGGTCGTTAAGGAACAGTTTTCTTGGATAAGGAAAGAAGGAATGTAGAGCACTCTTAGGTGCAATATACATATTTGATCCGTTCTTATTCTCATTAGGTAAGGCTGAGATTTTCTTATGATTTGAGACTGAAAAATACATACCGAAGTTTACTCTCGCTTTGCCTATGCCTAAGGGTCATTGTGGTTCAATTCGTCTGTTCATCGCGTTACGTTTCTTTACGAAACTGAATCAAGGCAATTCTATTCTTATTTGCCTAATTTGAACTATGGTCATCACATAAGAGAATAAATTTTTGGCTTCCCGGTGACTTTATGACTTTTGATTATTACAAAAGCAAAAATCAATCTGGCACAAATTCGGTGCTTATGAAAAATTTACATACATACATATTAAAATCGATTCAAAACATTACTGTACTCATTCCGGAGTCTGCGATGCGCTATTAAATTTTTTCAAATGAAAATACCTTCATCTCATCTCATGCAATTGTGTAGAAATGTTATCAGCGAACTGATCTACGTGTTTAAGAGAATGATCCAAGGATATTATATTTGACTCTGCTCAAATCTTTCATATCTATCCACTCGGGAAAGAAAAAAAAAATTAAAAATGAAAAGATAAAATTTCTATACACGATAACCTTGCGTAGGCGTAACAGATTTTTCCTATTTGAGCATTTAATGCGTAAAGTTTCGTTACTGTAATACCTTACTACTCATTAATATGGACAGATGTTCAGGCTTTTATCGATTCAGAATTTCGTCTTGATCAAGAATGCAAAATATTGTTCTTCTTCTAGTCTTATCTGTATCTCCAATCTTTCGCTTTCGGACAATATCGAAATCTGTTTGAATTTGAAAGAAAAGGATCAAGCCCTGCTTATGTACATGTCTGCGTAGATATACCTAAAATATATTTCCAGAGGGAGCCGTGTCTATCCACATTTATTTTGTTTTGATACCTTTTCTAAAATTGAATGTGATGCGAAATTTTTTCAAGATTTACATGAATAATGCATCGCATTACGAATTCTACCCCGCTAACCGCGATCAGTTCTCATCTATAAGCAGCATACAATAAAGTGAGTTAGTTGTTTTTGTCAAACGTTTTGACTCCAAATCCATTACTGTCCAATAGTCGTCGTAATCATCTACCTACATGTGGGATGCATTTTGATAATATCTACTCTGCTGTGTACACTTCAATAAGTTTATATAAGCTGCGTATAAGGGGCGTAACAAAGAATACTTTGACGTAATGCTGCCATATTGGCTTTAACTACTGCATTATCCTTTGAAAATTCCATTCAATTAATGCATAGTTCTAATATTGATTCCATACGTTTTGAGTATACATATATATATGCGCGCTCAGCTTGAATGATAAAAATTTAATTTCATTTACTAACATTAAACATTACAAGATGACGAAGGATAAACGAAACACGGATAAGCTAAATGATAACCATAGCAGGTTTGTATCTTTCCCAGACGTACGTAATATATTATCTAACATTTCCATTTGCGTCAGGTCAATAAACCAAGTATATGGTGCGACGACAAAAAAATTCCACGTTGCTTCCCGTCTGTCCATATGGTATTTAATTTATTTACCTATGAACCTATGAACGTATGAAGCATTAAGTTGAGGAGAGTTTCTAATATACTTATATATTATACTTGACATAATCGATCGTTTGTCAATATGATGAGTTATTCCATATTTATGGTCATAACTTAATAAACACCTTTTTCATTTCAATACGAGTCAAAGGTCGACTGGTGCGTACCAACAAAAAATTTGCTTTAGACTACGATTATGATTTTTTCTCTTGTTTTAAATCACAAAAACAAATTTATTTAAACAGTGATCTTTGAGGTGTTGCAAGTAAATAAGACTTTATCGAACAACTATGTACTCAGTCCCGAATATATCTTCTGGTTTATCACGTACGAAAATGTTCATCAGAGATCTCGTACAGCTGCCCTTTAGTTTGATGTTGTTGACGATCGCAAGAATTCCAATTTATCGTAAACTGATGGCACCGATTTGATACCGATTACAGGTGTTCTCGATTGATATCTTCTTTTTTTCATATAGGAAATTTACACTCCATATATATCAAGTAGTGCTGATTGTCTCTCGAGCGACCGTAGCGAAGAACTCAGACGCTCATGCGGAAAGTTCAACACTCCCAGTACAGTACCTTCTAGCGTTGGCGTAATATTAAGTGCGCTGTGCTTATGCATAGAAATTTCTAAAGCGAATGTTCGGATGTGATAAAAGAGAATTGCCCACCAATCGATTTCTTTAGCAGAGCAAACTAGTGTTCTTGTTTCTCCTTTCTCCTACAATCTTTGTCCGTTTTTACCTTTATATTGGATCTGCACAAACGTTGCAATAACCTTGTGCCGGCGTGTATGTACGAGAGATTCCCCAACTTAGCTAAGAGAAAAGTCAAAGCAAATTTGTAAACCTTGTTGATGAGCTGGCTTGTATCCATTATCCAAGATTTATTGTACTCCTTCAGGCTGCTAGCTCTTCAATATTATGATTCTTATCAATTCATTCAACTTCTTTGGTCCAGAGCGCTAAGCTGTGTCTGCCGTTGACAAGTCTTCGCCAAACAATTGATGTCTAATCCGGCAGATGACCTCGTACCATGCACGTAGGGTATGATGGTACGTCTTGCCTGTCCCTTGGCAGAATCTGCATAAATCGGTGACGGCGATACGCATGTTTTTCGTGCTTAACATCACATAGTCCGCCCCAGCGAAGGACAAACAAATTTTTTATTGACGAAAACTTTATTTACACAAAATCTATTTGAAATTGTCTTTAGATTGGACACTCTATTAATTACGTGCACGATGTTGTTTAAAAGCCGCAAAATCTAATGAAATCAAACCTGGGAAACTTGAAGAAGTGACATACTTACGTGCACACATGCCTTTCAATGAATTTATGTGTATGTAGCGCTTTTAAAGTTTGAACACAATTCTTTTGTCGTTAATGTCAGACATAGATTAATAATAAAAAAATTCGTACACATGTGGACGGGCATATATAAAAAATGAGTGGTATTTGTTGCTTTTTTTTTATTATTATATTACTTTTCACAAATACGCAAACATGTATGTGAGTAAATAAAATTTTTGTAGAGCTATGAGTACGCTTTAGAAAAATCAATAAAATTCAACGATGCACACACATACACACACACACACACACACACACACGCACACGCACAAACACGCACATTAAAAGCTGGGGCATAAAGAATGTTGTGTACGAAAAGAACGAAACGACAAAAAAAAAAAAAAGAAAGAAAACAACATTCAAGCAATCAACCACACAACCATGACACAGAGCAGTCAATTTAGGCGTAAGACTCTTAGGCAAAATCCAGTCAAGCAGCAAATATGGCAGGAAGGCGACTATTCAGGATTCATACAGTAATAATGGAATAAAAACAACTATCAAACACACGCACCCACTAACATCAAAATATAGCTGCACCTA